AGGCAACAAACAATCATAAAAAAATAACCTTTTTAGACAAATAAAATCTAACTCGGTTTGTTATTTTTTTTTTACAGCTTATCTACCCTTAACGTCGAAATATATTTTGGATTGTAAGAATAATTCTCATTTTTGCCAATGTAATATTTGCATTATTTTTTTTTATTTATTTCTGAGAATAACAAGGATTTTTTTCAGATACAAGTTCTACTATTTAACCCATAACTGGGGAAGGAAATGGAGTTTTAACTTTACCAAGAGTATTTTCGCTTAAGCGAATGTTACGAAACCGTAAGTAGGAAACAAATATCGCAACTACACACACACAAACACACAAAAGCGCAGACACACAACACACACACACACACACACATATATATATATATACATATATATACATACATATACACATATATATATATATATATATATATATATATATATATATATATATATATGTATATATATGTCAGCGGCGAATATATTTTTATACACATCCTTTGTTTTATATTCGCCCTATTCTGAATCAAAATGCTAAGGGTGCGTTTATATTTTTACTATATTACACAAAATGAACCTTACAAAAGCAACAAAATTCTGTTTTAAATTGATCAGACAAAAGGTTCATAAACTGTTATCGGTTAATCGACCCCCACTTCACACACAATAAATATGCACGCATGTAACTATATATATGTGTGTGTGTGCGTGCATGCATGTGCGTGTGTAGGTTCATGTGGGGGCGTGTGTGTGCGTGTATGTCGGTATTCACGCCTGCTAGCACACTTTTATTTTGTGAAATAAATATAAAAGAGACCAAAATGGCAACAATACGGTTATCACTCAACCAATGAATATATGTGTATGTGTGCCTGCGTGTGCGTGTACACTTATTAAGGATATGCTAACAAGTTTAAACCAATAATAACAATAATAAAACGGTTCTTAATAGAATAATAATAAAATATATATTGCTAAAGTACGTTGGCAATATATATGTTATTGTAGATAGATAGATAGATAGATAGATAGATAGATAGATAGATAGGCAGGCATAAATTACTGCAAATAGATTAATTTGTAGAATTATAACGCTATGTGGATTTTGAATGTAAATAATTGAATTGACCCGAGCCTTAACGAAATTGGGTCGAATGAAAATGAAGAAAAGAATGTAATCACGATTACTGGCCATATTCATCTACTTGTAAAATCCACGAATCTAGTCTGTTCGCAGATTTTGCGAAATATTATGATGCCGAACACTTAATTGATATTTGCCTACAGTTTGACGACGGTCATTCTGCAAGCTTTAATATGTTCCGAATTACTGAGGGTTATTCGTGACCGATGTTTTGACTAAAACTATTTTTTGTCAAATAATAAAGTATACAGTGTGGAGTAATACGTGTTACTTTTAAAATTATATAAAATGTTATATTGCACCCACGAAGCTATAAGAAGTAGTGTGGGTCTAAAGCCCCCCTCTTTTTTTTTTTTTTTTTTTGCTAGAGTAGAAAATTAAACAGAATAATTATTTTGTGTTTTTGGCCTCAAACTATTGAGAATTGTACCATTTGGCTAAAAGTATATTTGCCATTAATTTTCAAAATAAATAATTTTCTATAAAACTTCTTTTTTTATTTATATTAGCTCCTAAAACTTACATTCGGGAAAAATCTATGGGTGTAATTTCAGAATGTAAGTACTATCGAAAATCAAAATAAAATAAATAATAAATATAAACAAATATATATTTAAAATCAAAACAGAAATTGTTTATAAGAGTAAGAATATTCATTTTATGAGAGAATCAGCTAAAAAAATTTCGAATCAGTCTTCTTTAAAACTCATTATCTTCGCCCTGTCATTTTATCATCTGATTTAAACACCCGACTATTTATTTTTCGGCCCTGTCTATGGCTTAAGGAATAACTTTAAATTATCTTAACAAATGACCGAAGATGGATGAGTGAATTGTTTTCCTATCATAGTTGATGCGCTTCGTCTATGTGTTGTGTCCCTTCAGGACGATGGCGATGATGGCTCTCCGCAATTTCCGGTCCTTTCTGTTAATAAATGTAGTATATATCTCCTAAACCCTGTTCTGCCAGACATTTACACAGGCTCGATAGGTAGCTTATGCTTTGTTTTTCTTAAGTCCATCTTCGATTCAATCTGTCCTGTGAGGATCAAATTTTCCAAGCCCCCTTTCCTCATTATGTGTCCTAGAAATTTCAGCTGATGTTAAGTAAAAGTGTCTTTTTTGTTTCCATTTTCCTTAGAACTTCGTTGGTCACGTTTTCGGTCTACGGTATTCTCATTATCCTTCTGTAGAACAGCTTTTCCGTGACTTCAAGTCTGTATTTCATCTGTGAGGAGATTGTCCACCATCCACTGTCATAGAGGAGGGCTGATATTACTTTTCGTTGCTTCTAACGAATTTTTTTTCATTTTCTTAATAATTTGCTTAGATTATGGAAGGCATCTTTCACTGTCCTAATGCGCCTCTGGATTCCACTTTCTGTACTCGGTTAAAACAGTTCGCAGATATTTAAATGGCTGTACTTGCTTGGATTTGAAAGTGCTAGTTATGAAGAAAATTAAAAATGTTATTATTTTTTTCTTCAAACTTCGTAGCTAAAATTTCAAAGTACATTAAGTATTTGCCGTTTAGACTTGGGCTGTTAAAATAATTTAATAAGCAATAATACTAAAACAGAAATAAAAAAAATGAACATTTAAAATTTAAATTAATGTAAGATAAAATAAAGAGGAGGTAACAGCAACGTTGAGTTTTGAACACAATATTGAGGCATGTCAACTTGGAACGCCAAAAAACACACCAACGTTGTTTACAACATCAGCAACATGACAACAAATAGCAACCACCCTGGCAACGACGGATCGTTCCGTCGCTTAAACAAGGTGGATTTTACAAGTACGTGAATGCACTGACCTCTGAGAATAACAAAGCGCCTTCACTTTTTTTTCTTTCTTTCTTTAAGGAAGAAAAAAAAGAAGATATATGCCCAGGTTTAATGCTGCCGTTTGTTAGGCTTGAACGCTAGCCAGCTATTTTTACCGATAAACATGGCTAATGGGAGCAGCAGCAGTAGTAGCAGTCGTAATGGGATGCACGTCTTTTTACTAGAAATATTTGGCTTTGTCTCTCTCTCTCTCTCTCTCTCTCTCTTTCACGCCACCTTTTACTCGCTCTTACTAACTTCCAGATATTTACCCACTCCCTATGTGGCTCTTTCTCTCTATTAACTCGTCCTCCCTGTCTTGCTTCTTACTATATTGTCTCTTTTGATTTCTCTTGTCATATTTCTTTATCTCTTCCCGAAGCCGTAATAATATGCAGTCCATTTTTGCTAGGTTATTTAATACGGATAGCTTAGTTTGGTTTAAGTTTACAAGTATTAGGTACCCAATGAGGATAGATCACAGTAGCGATGATCTGCGAGACAAGCTTCTTAACAATAACATTGCGAGGAACCTCTACTCCATTATGTTATGTTAAAAAGGAAGTAAGAAAGTAGGTATCGTAAGTAAACCAGTAAAAAGAATATGAAGCCGCGGCACGTAGGCAATGGTTAACGAGCCAGTTGAACACTACAACTGAGTAATGAGGTCCTCCTGTCTTTTACTAAACAGATTAAAGCTTAGTAAACAACAAGACATGTTGTAGTGTAGCGATTAGGACTTTTGTCACACATATCGTTATTATTAACAGTACAATATTATATTACTACAAAAAATACATGAAGTTCTTATAGGTGCCGTGTCCTTTGAGGACGTGAGCTTTCATGGCTCTCCACAACTACCTATGTCTCGCAGTTCAGAACAATATGTGTCTTTTTTACTAACCCTCCTCTTCCTTGTTCTGGCATCCTACTAGTTATGTAGGTTACTCGCTGCTTTCCTCTGTCTCTCTGGCATTCACTATTTCCTGTGAGTCAAATTTTCCAAACCTTCTTTCCTCTTTATACGTTGCAGAAACTTTAACTCTTTCTGATGTTCTCTTTGAACCCATTATCCGTAAAACTCGCTTACATGATCTATAGAACCACATCGTGGTTGCCTAGAATCTGTTACTCTCTACAGAATGTTCAACATTCACTACCAATTCGGCAACTCATGATACGAGGATTTAAAAAAAAACAAGAAAAAAAACATAGTCTGGCACAAGGAAAAATTGATAGAGTGACCAATGATAATTGAACTCAGCAATGGTTTTACACAACATGTGAAATAGATAGATAATTATTAAACTTTCTTTACTTTGGCAGAAGGTTACAGTTGAGAAACTACCAATCTATCTATCTATCTTGGTTTGTTTCTATCTATCTATCTCTATCTATCGAACTATTTTGCTTCGTTTCTATCTATCTATCTATCTTGGTCTGTTGCAATCAATCAATCTCTCTCTCTCTCTCCATCTCTCTCTCTCTCTCTCTTGGTCTATTTCAATCAATCGAATCTCTCTCATATATATATATATATATATATATATATATATATATATATATAAAAGAAAGAACACTAAGATATATAATCCGGTGTTCTTATAGATATTTTTATTTTTACAAAATAGTACTCAATGTAAATTTACAGAGCATTAATATTATAAATTAATTGATTTAAAATATGTTTTTTTTCCGCTACACAGTTCTAATCATGTTTCTATTTTTGAAACATGGTTAGAACTGTGTAGCGGAAAAAATATTTTAATTAAATTAATTTATAATATATATATATATATATATATATATATATATATTGGTTTGTTTCTATCTATGTATCTCTATCTATCGAACTATTTCCATTTCTATCTATCTTGGTCTGTTTCAATCTATCTATCTATCTATCTATCTATCTATCTATCTGTCTGTCTGTCTGTCTCTCTCTCTCTATATATATATATATATATGTGTGTGTGTGTGGGTGTGTGTGTATTGGTTTCTGCCTATATTTCTGAGATGAGGTATTATGTACACTATTTACATTATTCGGACTATTGTCCTCATCTTTTTCGCCATGTTTATCACAACGTTTCGGCCTTTTTACGCTCCAGCCTTCTTCACCCTAAGGAAGGCAAGAAGAAGGCCGTAGCGCACAACGGCCGAAACGTTGTGATAAACATGGCGACATGCCGAATAATGTAAATAGTGCATATCTTGCTTTGTTTCTATCTATGTATCTCTGTCTATCTACCGAACTATATTGGTCCGTTTTCATCTATCTATCTTGGTCAGTTTCTATCTATCTATCTATCTATCTATCTATCTATCTGTCTATCTATCTATCAATCTATCTATCTATCTCCATATAATTATTTGTTTCCGTGACGAACATTTATGGCAGTTTTCTCATGTTCGTTGTAAGAAAGTGTATTATGAAGCGCAACAGAAGCGCGTCTGACATCAACCTTGGAAGCAAAATTTTGTATTCCATGACATAATGAAGGGATTCAACATGAGTAAGCTAGCCATGTCGTAGGTTCTTTCTTAAAGTTTCCTTCTTCTAACCGATGACTCACTGTTTGCAGAGGCCTGTCACCACATCGTTTCACGTTCATGCTTTGATTGTTCTGATAAGATTTCTTCTTTCATACCTAGACTTAATGAATTTAAAATCCGCACATTTTACTGTTGAAATGTTGTAACCGTAAGTTCTATGCTAGCAGTTTCTTCTTTATTCTTGCTTTCCGAGCAACTCTGATTTTAAAAAAATTAAATCCAATGGTGTTATCTTCTGTATTGATTCCCGCCCTTTTATTATTTTCGTTCCTTAATATATATATATATATATATATATATATATATATATATATATATATATATATATATATATATATTATGAAATGGGCAAAAGTCAGATTATTTAAGACATTTTTTTCTATGAAAATTTCTTGGACATTCTGGCCGGTAAATGTTATTAATACTGTTTATTATAAACAGAGCATTTACTTAAATAATTTATCTCTAAAATTAACGTATAAACATAAAAATGTCTTACATATATATATATATATATATATATATATATATATATATATATATATATATAGTAATATATATATATATATGTATATATATAATATATATATATATATATATATATATATATATATATATATATAATTACTATATATATATAAATATATATATATATATATATATATATATATATATATATATATATATATATATATATATATATATATATATATATATATATATATATATATGTATATATATATATATATATATATTTATATATATATATATATATATATATATATATATATATATATATATATATATATATATATATATATATATATATATATATATATATATATAGTAATATATATATATATATATATATATATATATATATATATTACTTTTCTCATATTCTTTTACACTCAGTAACTCCTTATGCCGTAATTAATTTATTGACTTGCTTAGGGTGAAATAATTTGAAAAGTATTTTCAAATAATTACAAAAGTTTCGCAGTTAATTATTCTCTTATATTCATTTTTTATGAACAGGTGCTATTCGAACTTTTAAACAGAAATACCGCTATAGATGTGTGCTGTAGTCTAATGAACAGCGGCTCGAAACGAGAAATCGTAGAATTGAGTTCGAATTTCAATCGGGTTCGTTATTTTCAATTTCGCACAAATACCGTTAGAAAAGGTATGAATCTATCTCCCCCCAGGCTATGGGTTAAATAGCACAACAAACTGGATCCTATAGCCTTGGTTGGCTACCAGTCTACCGCAGAAAGAAACGACAACCTACCGCGGGAAAGACTTCTGCCTCGTCAGTCATGAATCCAAAGTCACACGATCTCCCGAGCGTGTATCACACATTGCAATAAAATGCATACACCTATTTGCTTTCATAAAATATTCAGTGTATTATAATTTGAAAAAAAAAACCCACATATTTATTATTACTTATTAAACGAGTGTGGGTTGAAAAGTTCATAGGTTGACTATGAATAATTGATGATAGAGCTGTGAAATTTCGCATGCAGTAATTTTAGCTCTTATTAATAACTGCATTGTTTCATTCCAGCTTTATATGATTGTGCAAAGACTTCAAAGATTACTAGTCACGGTATCTCTTGAAAATGGATAAATTTGGCCTCGTACTCATTTTATGTTGACTGATTAAATTCATTTTTCATTCCATACAATTCAAAAATGAAATATTGGTATTCCTGGTTTTGCATATGGTAAAATCAGTGGCAGGCCTACACTTTTACGGAATCGATACTTGAACAAATATGGCGGATCCTTCTCAACCTGTAACAATAGATTCGACGAACCGACTTCCAATATATAAGCTATGAATAGATTTTAGCAAGCTAAACGAACACATGCAGCTGGTGCTCAGGCGCTTAACCCCACACCACCTAGAAAATTTTTTTAAATTTGACCAATCACAGGGGAATTTCGAGGCCATATGAAATGACTTTTACAGCATATTCTAAAGCCAACATTAGCTAGAATAATCCATTGGATTATGATACTATCATTAAATGGGCTTATTTTAATAACAAAACATTTAACCTACAAATACATTGTACCTACATTAGGGTATGACGTCTTTATCCACAGTGCAAAATAGGCAACTGAATTCAATAGAGTAAATGAGTCCCTTGAAGAAGACCCAACGACTGGACGTACTGCAATTGCAGCCACCGCTGAAAACTTTGATCGTGTCCTCAACATGATGATAGATGACAGGCGATTGGCTGTAAATCAAATAACCAATGCTATTAGCGTATCCAGCGAGTTGAGAATATTCTCCACAAAGAACTTGGCACAACGATGGTTTCTGCTCGATGGGTGTCACGTCTTCTGACACCTGATCAAAGGTGCACCAGGCTGATCACATCACGGGAAAATCTGACATTGTGGCAGATCCAACTAGTTTTCTAGAACGTTTCTTAAACCAGGATGAGTGTTGTGCCAGCGACAAAAAGACAATCCATGCATTGAAAGCACGCCTCTGAAGGTGATGGCCTCAACATTTTTAATGTAAAAACTTTTGCGTTTATTGACTATTTTCAAAAGGGCCAAGCCATCAATGGTGAGTTCTATGCCAACTTACTGAGACAGTTACGAAAGTTTATCAAGATTAATAACCTAGGAAAACGTCTTGCTTCGAGAGGACAATACTCTAGCACAGATGTCCTTGGTTTCAATAGCTGCTGTACGTGAATCTCACTTTGAACTGATTAATAAACCTCCATATTCTCATGATCTGACCCCATCTGACTATCTTCTGTTCCCCGACACGAACAACTACTTGGTTGGAAACCAGTAGCATAATAATGACCTCATAGTTGCTGTTGATTTTTGTTTTTGACTAGGATCGAAGAAGTGAGTGAACCGCATGAAGGACTCTGCTGAGAAATAAGACCTCATTTAGATACATTCCATAAGAGTACCTTGGCCAGCCTAGCCCCGTATGAATTAGAAAACGGCAGTGGTACTTCATTAGGAAATCTAGCAAATAGGATATTTTGGTTCCTCATCTGAATTTAATTGAGAACCAAACACAAGTTTTCCACCAGTGGTGGATCTAATATGAAACTAAAGAAGTATAATCAATTGGGACCCTAAATGGTTATACATTCACTTTGAACAGTATTCGACTATATCTAGACTGTTTTGTTCCTCTCTCACCAGTAATCGTCAAGGCAAATTCCTAAAGCTAAATATCATAACATTTATCTTTCTCCACAAAGAACGACTTTTTGCAAACCACCATTGAACTAGAAACCTATCATTTACGGTGGAACAGTGATAGATTATTCTCGGAATGAGAAATCGGAGAGCCGAGTTCGAATTCCATTCGAATCCATTACATTCACTTACGTGCTAATCCCCTTGGTAAAGGTATTAATCCTCTTCTTTATTAATATCTTCTTCAGATATGGATAAATAGCGTTGGATGGCAACTGGTCTACCGCAGAAAGAAATGGCAAAATTCTGCGGGAAAAAATCTGCCTCGTCAGTTATGTTTCAAAGAAGAAGAAGAAGAAGAAGCTGCTGCTTATATAAATGGTTGGCGTACAAAGATTAGGAGAGATAGCGAAAATATAAACTTTACTAAGAGCTACAAACAACAGGTAATTGTGAAGAGCCATGATCGCCCACATCCTGAAGGGACACGGCAGAAAGAAGAAGAAATGAAGAAGAAGAAGGAGGGGCTAATGTAAATGGACAGAGATTAGGAGAGATAGTAAAAATATAAACTTTAAGGCAATTGTAGAGAGCCATGATCACTCACGTCCCGGAGGGACACGACAGAACCAAGAAGAAGAAGAAGAAGAACGAGTTTATGTAAATGATTGGAAGAACAAGGTTTAGGAGAGATAGCAAAATGTCAAAAGTTATTAACACCTACAAAGAACAGGGAACTGTAGAGGGTCATCTTCGCCCACGTCCCGCAGGGACATAATAATAATAATAATAATAATAATAATAATAATAATAATAATTGCATTTTTATTTTTATTGTTTAAATTTTTTACGCAAATCTAGAGTTATTTGATTTTTGCTTTCCGTTTCGGTTTGTTTATCTGTTTTTCTTAACGGGGTCTTTGTTTGAAGTACAAAAGCGTCTACTAGTAACCGCCATTGAAGAAAATTACTGAAAGTTACAAGACAGATAGGAAGATGAAATGAAGCGGAATGCAATCAAAATAATAATGATAATAATAATTGTGGTAATAAAAATGATGATAATAAAATTATAAAATTTGTATATATGTGTATGTATATGTACGCGTACTTGCGTATGTGCACACACACACACACACATATATATATATATATATATATATATATATATATACATTGATTAGTATAAAAGCTCAATTTAATTTTCATGTTCATAATATTTTCATTTTAGAGTCACATTACTAAGTTATATTATTGGTTGATGTACCTGATTGTCGCAACCTAGGGAAGGTTACTGAATAGAATAATCACACGAAGGTTGGTAATGGATGATAATGCTTAGGACAAGAACAACACATATAAGATTCGCCAGTAGCGCGTAGAAGTAGTAGTCAACTGCTAGAAGTGAGTCAAGTGAATTCCACAATGAATCTCCAACTGCAGGATATCTATCAACCGCCCCACGCCTTTAGCTGTGGCACAAGGCCGAATTTAATGTGGGGCATCCGAGCCCGTGGGCTCGGACAAAAATTCCCCGTAGACCCCGTATAATACGGGGTCGGGTAGCTGTTTCCCGAGACGAGAGGTTGTCCTTCGACATAGCCTCGTCTGGGGATCCTCTCTGCCAGGAGGCAGAGAGTTTGACCAGCACAGCTGGAAACGAATCTCCAACTGCAGACGAACATACAGTATTTCCTACTGTATTTATGGGAA